GGCAGGGTCAAACCTGACCCCCTCCCCTCCAAAACCCATCACCATTATCTGGGACAAGGAGGGGAAACGTCCCCTTCCCCTCCCTCCTCGGGAAACTGATAAATATTTCCAGGGATAAAAACAAACACTCCGCATTTGGCTTTTTTGGTGGTTGTTTTTCTTGAAGAGACAAAGTGTTCCACAGAAAGCCGACACTTCCTACACAAGTTTGCATCCTCAAACCCCGAGTTTTTCTGCCGCTCATTCGGGTGGAAAAAGCGTCTCCAGCCCCTCAACCCCCCCATCCAGGGATCCCTGAGCCTCTGGAGTGCCCAGCAGCGTCATGTGGAGACAGAGACAACTTCGGGAAAGTGAGGTTTCCCATTCCCACAAATGAAGAACCATCAAGTTTCCTGGGCTTAGAAAACCCCATCACAAACCGTGAAAACAACTCACACACCTCAGCCCTGTGACGCAACTCTTGTTCCCACTCGATTCAGGGTGATTTGGTTGGTTGGTTGGGTTTTTTTGGGTTTTTTTTTTTTGAGGGAATAATATTATCCCGAAGCATCCTTATGGGTTCAGGAGTAAGAGAATGAAATATTCCCATAAAGAAAGCACGAGGCAATTCAGATCCAGCTCCCTGGGACGGGTTTAAGGCCAGCCAGCCCCTTGCCCAAAATTAACCCCGGATGAAGCCTGAATATTCCCAGCTGTGCAGAGCTGGGGATGTGTGTGAGGGGTTTTTTTTTTGGGGGGGGGGGAAGGGCCAGAGGAGAAAAATCAACACAAACCACGGGAAGCAGCAGGACCCGTGTCCTCAGATGCCGCCTCAGCACAAGATGTGCCGAGATGCCTTGGAAGGAAACGGTGCCAAATCCACCAGCAGAGCCAGCCCTGATGCCAGCGGGAGCCTCTGGCCCCCTGGGAGGGGCTCCCCTGGGATCTGCCCCCCTTCCCTGGGCATCCCATCCCAAAATAAACAGGTGCTGGTGACACACACCCACCTCCTGAGCCCAGATTGGGGATGTTCACTCCCCTGCCCTTGTTTCTGGGTTCAGGGATGCACAACCTGCAGCCCCTCCCCTACCCCAGGGAAGGGTCTGGCTCTCATCCCTAAAATCCTCCCCCAGCCCAGCAGCACCGTTCACCCAACAGAGCAACATCCACCAGCCAGTCCCTTCCCTTCCCTTCTCCCAGCTGGGCTTCGCTTTCCAGGACTAAAATATAAAGGAAAACAACTGCCCACATCCCCGGGAAACTTCCAACTCCTGGAAAGCGCCGCGGGGCGACGGATGATTCCGTGTGCAGCAGCCTCTGCCAGCAGGGAGGGTTATCTTGGAAGAATCAGACATCTTTAAGGAAAAGTTCTACTTCAAACCATGTGATCTGCGGGGAGGGGGGGGAAGAGACTTCCCAGACAGCGAGGAAGAGCCAGGAGAACGGATTGTCAATGCCCCAAAAGCACACTGAGAAGCGAGTTTTCCCTTATCAAGCCGTGCCTGAAACCTCCAGGGCTGGAGCCAGCGATGGGAAACACAGCAGTTGTTGGGATACGGGAGTTATTGGAGTGCCAGTAAGGATTTTTCACGGGGATTTGGGAATGCTGAGAGCTGATGCCGTGACATCCTCGGGCACCCAGCTGGACGTGGAGGGCAGGATTCCCTCTCCAAACAGCCCCCACTTGTTCTCCCACTCCCCTGCCCAGCAGTGCCCCAACGCTCCCAGTTTTCCCAGTCGCTCCCAGTTTTCCCAGTCGCTCCCAGTTTTCCCAGTCGCTCCCAGTCCCGGCGGCGCTGGCGCTCGGGAAGTTCAATGCTGCCACCTGGTGGCTTTACGGTGGAACTGCAGCACGAGGGGGACCCCCCCCCCTTCCCACTCCTCATCCCAAATTCCATCGGGATCCCCCAGCAGATACCAAACCCCAGCCAGAGCCCGGGATGGGCTCGAAAAAATATCGACAAAAAAATTATAAAAATAATTTAAAAATTTTGTTTGTTTGTTTGAGTTTTTTTCTTTTTTTGTGGGTTTTTTTTTTTTTTTTTTGAGGCAAAAAAAATTAAATTAAAGTGGCCACAGCGCCTTAAAAAAAGTGGTCAGAATATACCAAAAATTAAATGGCCACATAAAGAAAGACTGAAGTGACCAAAACACGGTAAAATAAAAAATTAAAAATTATTAGCGGCCTTAACATAGCAAGAAAATTATTTAATTTTTTTCCTACATTGTCGCCGCTTAATTCATTTTTTCCCCCTATGTTATGACCATTAAATTAATTTTTTAAAAATAGCCACATTATAGCAAAAATTAAATTCATTAGGTGGCCACAGTACAGCAAAAAAATGAAATCATTAAGTGGCCAAATATAGCAAAATTTTAAATCATTAAGTGGTCACCGTGTAAAAAAAAATTTATTTAATTTCTTTGCTACATTATGGCCATTTAATTAAATGGTCACAATATAAAAAAAAAATTTAATTAATACTTTTAGAAGGCCATAAGGTGTCAAAAATTTAAATCGTTAAGGGAACATTATAAGTGGTTACAACGTAGGGAAAATCACGTTTATAATGCAGTGAATATTTTTAATTGAATGTCTAAAATATGGTGAAAATATTTATTAAATGGCTACAGCGTGGCAGAAACATTTGTTAAAATGGCTGCAACGTAGCCAAAACATTTAGGAAATGGCCAGTGTAGCAAAAAATAAATAAATAAATAAATTTAAAAGTGGC